AAAAAAAAAAAAAAAAAAAAAAAACCTCTCCAAAAAAAAAAAAAAAGAAAAAGAAACTACATGTAAGCTAGAGAAAGAATGTCCAGCATCTGAGAGACTGCCGCATTCACTCAGCCTCGCTTCTCAGTGTCGCCTCGCAGGAGACGGTGAAGAACTGCAGACCAAGAGGTGAGCCATTTATTCCAGACTGACCCTTACGGGACAAAGATGGATTCACACAGAGCGAGGCTTGCTCTGCCCTCTCCCCACACAGCTGTCTACACCAAAGCCGAACGGACACAGAAGCCCAGCACAGCCAGTGTCCCACTGCCACAGCTCTTACGCCTTCGCTTTCATTATTAGCTGCAGTAAAACCAACAGAATTTCACATAAGCAAGAGTTTTAAGCTATTTTTATTGCCATTGGATTTTTATCAAGTGTTTAAGTCTTCAACTTATTTTCCAAGAGTAAACTCTTTTTTTGTTTGTTCATTATTTGTCTAGGTAAATTTCAACGAATTTAAACACCCAAGATTCTTAAATGTTTTCGTTTTTCTGAAAAATAAATACCCATTTTACTTACAGGTATTGATATGCTAATAGTTCAAATTTAATGTATGGCTACATAAAATTTGCATTTTCCTACTAAGTAGCCCTCCATGAAGAAAATTCACTATAAAACAGGTCATTTATGTCTGACTCAAAGTTCTCAATTGTTTATCAAGAGCAAACTATCAGAAAACAATGTACTATTTTACTTCTACCGACATGCCATATAGATACCTACACTCTCGGTGCCCTCAATTACCAGTGGCAGCTTCCTAGGGACCACAGCGCAGACCTCACAGAGAAGCTGGCTCTATGTCGGCAGCCAAGACAACCAGAGCTCAGGCGGGAGGGAAAATCCCACTCACCTTTCGATGAGAGGGCAGCTAAGGGCCCGGAACATCAACGCTAGATGCGAGTGGAGAAGTCAGCGCGCTCTTTCTGCACACAGCCAGGAAAGGAACAATGGTGACTTTGCAGGCCACATGGCCGTGGCCCGCTATCAGGCCGACGGCTTACCAAAGCAACCACACAAGGCAACAGCAAGTGGCTGTGTTCCAACGAAACTTTATTTACGGGCACATTTTGAATTTCATATCATTTCCGTGTGTCGTGGGAACTGAGTCGTCATCTTCTTTTAACAATTTAAAAATGTAAAGACCATTCTTAGATCACAGGTCATAGCAGAGAAAGGTGATGGGCTGAGCTTGGCGGGTGGGCAGTAAGTAATTTCCGGACCCCTCGTCTAAATATATATTCTTTTTGACATTATTTTCTAGCAGTTGGTAACTTCTAGCTCATTATGAGTATTAAATGAGACCAATAATACAAAATTTGCTTAACAGTTGTGTAAACTGCTGGTGTATAAAGTTTTAAGATAAGTTTTTGAAAAGAAATTTTTTGGTCAAAAGTAAATACACTACTACGGTGACAAACTGGCCAGCCTCATTGGTTTCTTGAGGTCACTCTTCATAGCGTTCATACAGCCAACAGAAGGCACACCTCGCCTTCAGACCCGGGCCGCACTTCCGACTAACACAGCAAGCACACGCTCACCTGGAGACGTGCCTTAGGGTACACCTTTGTAAATGCAGGACGGCTACACTGCGGTCGTGATAACAAAAGCGCACTTTGAAGTTCCCAGACCACTTCTGTTTAATAAAAATGTATCAATCATTTAAAAATGGTTGTCTGGGGGTGGGCCAGCATATAAAATGTGTGTCACATAAAAAGTGATCATTGACTTTTTAACTTAATCATTTACTTTTAAAAAATAACCTTCAAATGCTAAACCTTCGTTATACGGATATACGTTATGGCCACAAGAAACAAATTTGCAATATGCTGTATTTCTAGCAACCTGGCTAATTATAATAACATTTTGTTCAGAAAGGAATAACATTATTTTTATTAAAATAACATAGCTAAATGAAATTTCATCTTTCCACATCTAATATGTTAGGCTGCTTCCAAGTCACCCACCCCCTGCAAAAAAAATAAGAAGTAGTCTAAATTATGGCCACAAGAAACAAATTTGCAATATGCTGTATTTCTAGCAACCTGGCTAATTATAATAACATTTTGTTCAGAAAGGAATAACATTATTTTTATTAAAATAACATAGCTAAATGAAATTTCATCTTTCCACATCTAATATGTTAGGCTGCTTCCAAGTCACCCACCCCCTGCAAAAAAAATAAGAAGTAGTCTAAACACTTGAGTGCTTCCAAGTCACCCACCCCCTGCAAAAAAAAAAAGAAGTAGTCTGAGACTCACTTGAGTGTTTAAGTCAAACCTGTATTTGTAGTTTCTAAAATGCTGACCCACAACCACTTCCTGTCATACACATAGCAACGAAAACAACAGGCAGAGAGTCACTGCCACCCCAGAGGAATGGCTCCTTTTCTGACATTCTTTAAAACACACACTTTACAGTCCTCACACGCCCACGAGGCGGCCATGTAATAAATACACTGTCTGTCCTGTTCCTACTGACAGTCCGCGAACTACCTGTTGTAGGCGCGCTCTTTTTTGGACTTCTCCAGCGCCTTGTCCATTGTCTTCTCGCTCTCCCCCCGACATTTGGGACAGTACCACTTGCCCTTCGGTTTATGGCTGAGCCCCACGCACGAGAAGTGGAACCACTCGATAGAGCACTCGTCGTTGTCGCAGCCTATCATCTCCCCATAGGAGACCTGATTGCACAGGCAGTACGTCGGCTCGTTCGGGTCGATGGGAAGGTCTGCGGGCGAGGCCTCCCTCTCCGCCTTGGCCTTGGAGCGTTTCTTCTTCTTGGAGGTTTTTGCTTTCTTCTCCTTGGGCGTTCCTGAGGTGATGTCGTCGTGGTCGTGATTATTAGATGCGTTCTCTCGGTTCTCATTGTTGCGCTGTCGCCGGGACCTCTTGTTGTTCGGCTTCTCTGCCTGCGTGATTGTCTCATTCTTAGACTTCTCCTGGCCAGCTTTGCCGCTGTTGCCTGTGGTGTCGCTGATCTCCTGATGCGCCTCAAAGAGTTCCACATGACTGTCCACTTGCCGGGTCCGGTTCTCCACCAGCTCCACCATCTGACTCACGATCTGGATCTTCTCGTCGCCCAGCTCCTGGCTCCGAATCAAGGCTCTCTGGATGCAGTGCAGCACCCGCCTCTTCTGGGCGCCGTCCGTCTCGCGCTTAAACTTCTCATAGTAGTCGTCCAGATCCTTCAGGATTTCTACAAACGAGAACACACATGCTTATCTGTCCATGCTGTAAATGCTAGTGAAGAGACGACGCCAGTTAAATAAGCCTTTTGTTTAATCCTCTAGTCTCCAAAAAGTAACGGCAAAGGACAGAAATGACCAACTTGAGGATTCCGGCATGAAAGTCTTACAACTACGGGAGGGCTTTTCAGGGAAAATTTTTTTCTCCTGTTGGAAAAAAATAATCTCTGGAACTAAATGCAAATGCCAACACAGATCCCAACTAGCCAAGTTCCACTCAAAGTGGCCCAGGGACAGTTCAGAAGTGCAGGTGACTAATACTCCTGGGATGTATAATTAAGGGAGAGAGTTCAAATTTAGGTAAAGTTCTTGGGCTCAAAGTTTTTCTTCTTTTCCTCCAACTCTAACCCTAACGAGTTTTTACTTTCTATTAAACTGATATCTCTATAGTTCTGTAATTTTTATTCAAGTAATTTTTCAATAGTATAAAGGTCTTAGTTTTCTTGATCTCAATGCACCAACATCTAGAACATCTACTACATGTATATAATACATTTATACAATGGCTCTCTATGGTTTAGACTAGAGTTAAGTGGCCAAGGTCCAGACCGATCAGTGACTGAGGACCTCACTTTACCAGCCACTTCCTGTTCGCTCTGTTAAAAGTTACTCCTCTGTATTACTGAAAACGAGAATGGTTTGTTCACAACAAACCATACAATCTAGCCTTATTTTAAAACAAAGGTGGCAGATTTTACTTCTGCATCAACTGTTTAAAACAATAACATTTTCACATCCATACAATACCAGGGTCGGCAAGTGGTGTGGTGTGTAAGGGCGCTGGAACCCCAAATGGCTGGCTCCAGTTCGAGTCCCAGACCTGGCAGCTTGCTTTAGCACTTTCCCCCTCTCCCTGTCTTTTTCTCATTCTATCCTACTCTGGTCAAATTTAAATAAATAAATGTTAAAGAAAAAAAAAAAAGATTTTGAGCCAGCAGATGGCATGGTGGTTAAGATGCTAGATCCCACATGGCCAACTGTGGTTCAAGACCCGGACCCAGCAGCTTGAAAACATGCTATATGAATTACATGTGTGTTGGGGGTAAGGGATTGCCTAAAACGTCACTGCCACCTTTACTAGAAATGGTCTCCAAGTACTCCTAAGGTCAACACTGAAGCTCACCTAAATGGCACTGCTTTCTAGGATATGTTCTCCAATTAAAATCACCTCTAAAGGGACCAGCAGATGGCAGGTGGTTAAGGGGTTGTACTACCACGTGGCTGACTGTAGTTCGAGTCCTAGACCTGGTGGCTTGTTTTCACACACCCACCCCTACCTCTCTCTCTGATTAAACTGAAAAGAAACAAAAACAAAAGCAAGCAAACAAAAAAACTCTAAAGATATTTCCTAGAAGAACAATGCAAATGCAGGTTTTTCTGCCACTAGAAAGGAGGAACGAATGCCACAGTCTCATAGTCTCTCATTTAATTCTGAAAATAGCTATGCTCAATTTACTCAAGTACTATCAACTTATGCAATGTCAAAGTCAGCGATGTTAAGATGTGAGGTTGTGGGGTCAGCAGGTGGTGGTGTAGTGGTGAAACTACTGGACCCCAGATGGCTGACTCCGTGGTTCGTCCTGGGCCTAGTGACTTGAAAAACATGCCAAGCATGTGGATATGGGTGTCTTAAATCCCGAGAGGAGAATGAAGAAGGGATTGCAGTGTGTGGCCATGGGAGGGAGGGAGCAGTCTCTCCCTTTCTTTCTTTCTTTCTCTCTCATTGAGACAACCTTTAGCAAAAATGTAAAAATAAAATAAAATAAAAATTCATGCCATTTATTTTTAAATGTATTACAAGTTACAAAACGATATAATTTGTAATAGTCAAATAGTCAATAGTCAAATTTCTGGGGCTGGCAGGTGGTATGGTGGATAAGGTGCTGGACTCCCACATGGCTGACTACAGTTTGAGTTCTGGACCTGGTGGCTTGCTTTATCTCATTTTCCCTCTCTTTCTGTCTTTCTCTGGTTAAATGAAAAATAAATAAATAAATTAAATTAAATAATTCTTTAAAAATCGCAGATTTATAAAGACAATGTTGGCATCCTATGAAAAAAATATTTTTTAAAAAAAGAATTATTTTATTTAATTTTATTTATTGTTGTTATCATTTTCCAGCTTGATCAGAGAGAGAAAGAGAGAGAGAGAGGAAGAGAGAAGGCAAGCCACCAGGTCCGAGACTTGAACCATGGTCAGCCATGTGGGAGTCCATCACCTTTAACCACCATGCCACTTGCCAGCCCCCTGAAAAAAATAATTCTATCATATCACTGATTTTCAATTTAATAACACACAGCTTCATATACATCACAAGACAGCTTACATGGAGATGTGAAACAAACATCCTATCATAAAATCACCAGCCAGTAGCTGTTACCTATACAACCCAAGATGCCCTGAGCAGTTACCTACCCACAATGCCACCAAGTGCAGACATTTATAAATGGACTAAACTCAGTGCTAAATAGGCGGGCATCTTGCTGGTCACACTCTGCTTCTGCAGCTCTATAGGCTCAGCCTCAAACTGCTGCAGACCGTTTTCTTCTTAATACGTTCCACACAAACACTACTACAGAAATGCAATGGCACTATGGAAAGAACTAAAGGATTAAATGACAGTAAGTTTAATTCAGTCTGCCTGATGGTTAAAAACGTATCTCAATTTTATGCAAGCATTGCACCTTTTTTTTTTTTTTAAAGAAAAGGTCGTTTATTAAGTAGACGCGAAAATACACTCCTGAGAGGTAGGAGGGCCTGAGCGGACAGAGAAAGAGTGATTCAAAAGGCCGAACTGTAAGTTTTTTAAGAAGCAGAACCCCCTGGGGTGGGTTTTCCAATGCTCAAAAATGGTTCAAACAATCCTAAATACCAATTGAAACTGATAAAGGAATTATAATACACAGTCGTGAATCAATCTCCATTGATGAAGTACTAAGCAATCTACACTGATCAAGTACTAAGCAAAAGACTGGCAGTCTGCTTTGCAACAGAGCAGTTCGTGGCCTATGGCAAGCGCGCCGCAGCCCTCAGCCCTCCTTCACGGAGTTGAATCAGGTGTATGGCAGCAGATCTGCACCACGTGCCCCAGTACCCGCAGATCCGCGGGCTTCAGGGGCTGCCTGTCCTCTCGAACAGCGCCAGAGGGCTGATTTCAGGAAGGCCGAAAAGTCCTTTACCGTACCCTGTTTCCTCTCCCCCCCTTGGAGCCCCAAGACTATCCCAAGGGCCCGGCCCTGCCTGGGGCACCACCTCCTGGGAGCCTCCGAGAACCCAGCGTGGACACACCCCCGAGGGCCACTCACGCTTCTCAGCCGCACCCTCGGGTTGGCAAGAGGCAGACCAGAGCCCTTGGAGGCCTGCCCCGAGGGTCACTGGGGCCAAGTGGGAGGCCAGAGCTGCGCACTGGACCCCCAACCCCGAAAGCCGCCATTACTCCGCGGCCGGAAGTGGCCGGGCCAG